AGCAAGGCTATGTGAAATTGAATGGAAACGTCAGCTCAACTCATATGATTGTGGGAAAATTCTTCTACTACCAGTCCTTCATCAGCTTAAATAAAATTGTGTGTATACATCTCATATAACTGATTTACTGGTAGTCACGAAAAGAATACTTAATTTGAAAAATGAAATCAGTCAACCGAAAATTCAATGGCACGTCAGCTCAAATCATATGATTGTGGGAAAAATCTTCTTCTACCAGTTCTTCATCACCCTTAGCGAAATTTGTTGAATACATTAGAACCGACCTACGAATCTCTTCACGAAATGTAAGTTGCCACAGCAATTATTAAGCAAAAGATTTCTCGAAACCTGATTTTGCTTCGGATGCATTTTGGGAGTCTTTGTTCGACTCCGCTTTGCTAGCGATGCCCACCTAAAGCCAGAATTGAGTCATAACATGCTTCACACTCAGATAAGTTTATGTGATGAATCTGACGCCCAGTTCATTCTATCACAATCTCTCACTCACCTGGCATATAATCAGATGAACTAGCTCTATCGTTTCACTATAATCCTTTCTATCCATTACGTCTGTCGCGATATCTTAATCGGTGATAATAAAATCTACTTTTTATTAAGTATATACTTTTAGCACAAAGGGCTTATTGACGAGCTAGTCTTCGTTGGGCAACTCCATCTCGCATTCCCTATCTTGTGACCTCAGGCAAGGATTATGTCTGCAAATCCTCTTGCGTCCTCACTCACGCTTGGAGGGGAGTGAAATTTTAGCCTTTTTCCCGAAAAGCAATCGTCTCTTTGCTGTCAACGGAAATCGGCACATCTGCCCAATCTCGAGACCCGGCAATCTGCATGTCTTACTGGTACCTCCCTGTTATGGCCTTCTGGATCGAACCTGAACTCTGCACTTTATCTCTTTTTTCCCAGCCGCATCCATTATCCTTCGCTGGCTCGGTGGGCACTAGTCGGTACTTGGGAATAAACCGTCGAATGCGAGGAGGAGTTGAAGACAACTTTGCTTCATCGAAAGGTATGAAGAGCAGGAGGGTGTGGCCTTTAGTATGAACGCTACTTGTCCGGAGTCCATAGAATGCATGATCGTTTTCAAAGTCGGATTGTGGACCTTACTACATTGCCAGGTTCCTTGTCCGCCAGTTTACAGCATAGCATGTGGCGCCAGCGAACGGAAAAATATTGGCGAATTATTTCATGAAGCTTATGAGCTGGATTGATGATATAATCGAGGTCACAATTGCTGTAGAGGAAGGGAGGCCGTCAGCTTTCCTAGAAGTGGAGGTCATTTGCTGTACTGGGACACTAAAGAGGAAATTGTGTCGAAATAAGTCATATGCCGGAATGATGCTCAAGTTCGAGTCTCCTCACAACTACAGAATGAAGATAGGAATGCTGAGGAGCATGATAGTCAGAAGCCTACGATTAAAAAGCGTGGAATTCTAGGATGAAGAATAGGAAAAAGTGATTCGATTATGCCTCGGTAACCGATACCC